CCCCGGGGCGGGGGGCCCACGCCGCAGCCCTGGAGGGCGGGGGTGGGTCCGCAGCCCCAGGCTGGGGCTACCGGGGAAATGGTTGGTTTAGGCCTTGAACCGGGAACCGCCCCCTCGCACCCCCACGGGCAGGGCTGGTGTAACCCCCCCAGGATGGGACCCCAGTGCCCCCCGTGGCGGTGCACCCCTCCCCGGGGGACCCCAGCCTGCGAACGGCCCCAGGGGTCGGGGAACGGGCCCCGCACTGAGGTGACCCTCCCCTCGGAAAGCGGGGAGGGCCGGTGTGACCTTCTCCCCAGGGCTGCCGAGGCCTGCGGGGCCAGTACCTGCCCTCACCCTCCCGCATGCCAGCTGGGGAGCTGCCATGTTTCGGGGGGCTCTTGGGGCAGCGGGAAGGGGAGATGCCAGCACCAGGGTCCGGGTAGAGCCGTCTGTGGGTGCTCTCGACCTGTGCCGGTGGCCTGTGACACCCTGAGAAGCATCACCAGGGAGTCACCAAGTCGAACCCAGGGCTAAGGAAGGGTGAAGACTGCCAGGAGGGTGAACCGGGGTCCCAGCCCATGAGATCAGACAGCAATGCTGCCTGAAGCGGGGCCAAAACCCTCCACGCACCGGCTGCCCCCATGGCTCAGCCTCCTGACACCTCTGAGCTATGGGGCAGCAGCAGCTCCTGCGCCCCATCCACCCCGGGAGGGTGCCTGCGGGGCCAGGGTGGCTCTTACCTCCGGCTCCCTGGGGCTGTGGTTGGCCTCGCTTACGCTTGCAGGACTAAAGGGCTGATTTGGGACTAAAATCCTTCTTTTCTTCCCCTAGATCACAGCGCAGACCAGCTCCTGGCACCACCGAGCCAAACTGGATTTCAACCAGTGATCCGTAAGGTGAGATGCTGCGTCCCCCTGCTCCGTCCTCAGGCTGTTGAAGACCACACGGGGCCACCGAAACTGCCTAAGCTGCCATAGAAAAGGTTTTGTGTCTAATGGGATATTTGCCAGCAAATTCAAGCCATGAACCCTATATATTTCTTTATTTGTAAAGGTGTTTGAAGTCCTTGAATTTACCCTTCGGCCACTTTAAATCCAGTTTTTAATCCCCAGCGCAGTTAATCAAATCCACAGTGGTTTGAATTATGAGATGTCTGGGGGGGATCTATAGCTTGTATTGCTGATTATACCTTGACTTTATTATATTGCAAATATCTAACTTACGGTCACGGCTGAGATTTACAATCCTCAGGTAGGTGCTTTGGATAACTTTTAGCAACTCCAGATGTAATTGGAGGTGACTGATGGGGCTGTCGCCACAGATAAACGTAATCTGTAAAATGTTGATGCTCTTAAGACAGGGAAAGAAGAGACAGAATAGGTGAAAAGGGTGGGTCAGCCTTAAAAAAAAAAAATAAAAAAGAAAATTGGATGTATTGCTGAGCAAGGCTCCAGGATGCCAGGTCTGGCTGGGGCATCCCTGCCTGGGAAGGGGTTTTGGGCTTGTTGGTCTCTGGAAAATACCAAGATTTAGATCTTTCTTCCTTTTTGCTCTCGCCAGAAGGTTTCTAGGGTTTGAAATAGCCCTGGGGAGGGGGAAGGGGTGAGAAATAGAAATTGGGGTACTCACACAGCTGACGCCTGCCTCCCCGGTTCGGGGGGGCTTTGTGCCTGCGGCTCTTTCGGACCTGACCGGCGGTTTCTCCCATCTCGGAGGAGCAGCGAGTCCCGCGCGGGCACGTGCCCCTCGGCCAGCATGACGAGCGAGGTGGTGGAGAACGAGTTTGAGTTTTACTCCAAGGCGGAAAAGTACTGGAAGGACGTGCCCGCCACGGTGGACGGCATGCTGGGGGGCTACGGCCACATCTCCAGCATTGACATCAACAGCTCCAGGAAGTTCCTGCAGAGGTTTCTGCGGGTAGGTGGCACGGTCTGTCATGCTCCCAAAGCCCCATCCTTCTCCCAGCACTGAGCTGGGCTCTTCCCTTTGAGTCGCTCCGTGGGATCCTCCATTGCGTGTGTGCTGGGAGAGCTTTGCCCTGCAGCGTGTCCCCCATACCGCAGCCCCGTCCTGCATGGTTGCCCCGTTTCTCCTCCGTGGGTACCTCGCGGTGGGATTCAGCCCCTCGTGGTTGTTGTTCCAGGATGGCCCCAACCGGACGGGGACAACCCGTGCTCTGGACTGCGGGGCAGGCATCGGCCGGATCACCAAGCGGCTGCTGTTGCCCCTCTTCAAGACGGTGGACATGGTGGACGTGACGGAGGACTTCCTCACCAAGGCCAAGAGCTACCTGGGAGAGGAGGGCAGGCGGGTGCGCAACTACTTCTGCTGCGGCCTCCAGGACTTCAGCCCCGAGCCAAACTCCTATGACGTCATCTGGATCCAGTGGGTCATCGGTGAGGGTCACTCAGCTCGTGGGGGTCTCACCAGCCAGTCCTCCGTCCAGCTTCCCCCGAGGTGCAGGTGCCCCACGCACTGGGGAGAGCTTTGGGCAAGAGAGCTTGAGGTCTGCGCTAAGGATGAGCATCACAGCGTGGGTGGGAGGGTGGGTTGGGGACCTGCCCTCCTTGGGCACTGCAAGGGCATGGCACTGGGGGGACTTTTCCCCCAAGCCCTTGGAGGCCAGGGCAGAGGTGTGGGTTGGACAGAGCTCGCGGGACACAAGTGGGACACCCCCAAGCTAAAGCTTTCACTTGCAAATGGCTCAAGTATTTGGCTGCCTGGATCAGGAGGGTTCCCAACCGCGGTCTCCTGGTCTCCTCCCCTCCTGTCACCCCGGCACTGGGGTCCTGCCGCAGTCACCCTGCGCCCTCTAACACCTGCTCTGCTCCTCCAGGACACCTCACCGACAACCACCTCTCTGACTTCCTGAAGCGGTGCCGTGCCGGCCTGCGGCCCAACGGCATCGTGGTCATCAAGGACAACATGGCTCAGGAGGGCGTGATCATGGACGATGTGGACAGCAGCGTCTGCCGGGACCTGGACGTGGTCCGTAAGATCATCCGCCGAGCTGGGCTGCACCTCCTGGCCGAGGAGCGCCAGGAGAACTTCCCCGATGAGATCTACCATGTCTACACCTTTGCCATGAGATGAGGGCGGCCGGCGGCGGGAGGAGGTCTCTCCGGGGCCAGCTCGGAGCACGGGCCAGCATGGTGTGCCTTCACCATGGGGTAGCAGACGGCGGCGAGGGTGTCATGGGTCCCTCTCTCCGGGGCTGGTGACGAGGATGGGGCTTTGTCTTCCAAGTTGCTGCTGTTTGTGAAAAGAGGTGTTTGCCAAATACATTTTCCTGCTGTTGCACTTCTGCACGTGGGCTTTGTCAGACACAGCGTTGGCTTGATGCCGCCTTCGGGGGCTCTGTACGGGAGCAAGAGGGTCTCCCCGGCAAAAGCCGTGCACCAGCAGGTTGCTGACCGCAGTCGCACAGGGCTCCTGTTAGTGAACAGCAGCTCAGAGCACCTCTGTGAGGGGCTGGGCTCCCTTCCTCCCTTGGGTGTTTGACCCTTTCCTGCTCTTGAGCTTGCTGCTGCTCACAGCACCGAGCTGGGCAAGGCAAATGGGAGAAATCTCTGCCGTTTCCCTGCAGTGGGTGCTGGGGCTTTGTGGGGGCTTCTTTAAACCCATGAGCAGCTCTCCCACATGTGCAGCAAAAAGGGAGGTGGATGTAATCCTGGCTCCCCCAGGTTCCTCCAGGGACAGGGAGAACCCAAAGCCCTGCAACCCCGGGAGAGAGCTGGTGTGCGCTGGGCATTAACAGGGAACCCGCTCCGAGCTGCCTCCGGACCCCCAGCCCGTCACCGCAGGCTCACGGTGATGCCCAGCACCTCCCGCTCGAACGCAGCAACGCTACAGCCGCTCCCCCACCACCCCACGCCATCGCCCAGCTTCGAACGCTCCCTTGGCCATCTCCGCTTCATTTTGCCCGAGTCCAGTCGCGTCCCTGTGCCAGCCTAATGCAGCACACCGCAGCCAGCGCTGGCACGACAGCTTGCCGGGTGGGAAGACCCCCAGTTGCAGCCCATCCCTCCAGCTGGGCTGACACACGATTCCCCCCATCCCTGCAGAGCCCTCTCTTCTGCCCTGTCTCTCCTGCAGAAGAAACAAGCCCCTTGTCCTTATTACAAAAGGCCTCGTTTAATTGCTCATTTCCCATTCCAGACACCAGGGGAGTATTTGATTGCATTATTTTTTTTTTTTTTAAAACATCAATTCATCAAGATGCACAGCTCCAGTTCCATGGGGCGGGAGAAGGTAAAACACAGATGCTGCCAAGAGGGCAATGGGGGAGACAATCCTGCAGCAGGCAAACTGCCCGTGGGTCCCAGATCCACCTGCTATAAATCGTACCTGCTCAGCACAATGGTTTTTTTTCCCCTCTTTTCATCCTTTTCTGCATCTGTCCCCCATGACAGACCAAAAAAAAAAAAAAAAGCCAAACAAAAATGGGGGGGGCTCACCCTCCCAACCCTTCTTTGGCACAGGACAGGGAGAACCCAAAGCCCTGCAACCCCGGGAGAGAGCTGGTGTGCGCTGGGCATTAACAGGGAACCCGCTCCGAGCTGCCTCCGGACCCCCAGCCCGTCACCGCAGGCTCACGGTGATGCCCAGCACCTCCCGCTCGAACGCAGCAACGCTACAGCCGCTCCCCCACCACCCCACGCCATCGCCCAGCTTCGAACGCTCCCTTGGCCATCTCCGCTTCATTTTGCCCGAGTCCAGTCGCGTCCCTGTGCCAGCCTAATGCAGCACACCGCAGCCAGCGCTGGCACGACAGCTTGCCGGGTGGGAAGACCCCCAGTTGCAGCCCATCCCTCCAGCTGGGCTGACACACGATTCCCCCCATCCCTGCAGAGCCCTCTCTTCTGCCCTGTCTCTCCTGCAGAAGAAACAAGCCCCTTGTCCTTATTACAAAAGGCCTCGTTTAATTGCTCATTTCCCATTCCAGACACCAGGGGAGTATTTGATTGCATTATTTTTTTTTTTTTTAAAACATCAATTCATCAAGATGCACAGCTCCAGTTCCATGGGGCGGGAGAAGGTAAAACACAGATGCTGCCAAGAGGGCAATGGGGGAGACAATCCTGCAGCAGGCAAACTGCCCGTGGGTCCCAGATCCACCTGCTATAAATCGTACCTGCTCAGCACAATGGTTTTTTTTCCCCTCTTTTCATCCTTTTCTGCATCTGCCCCCCAAGAAAAACCAAAAAAAAAAAAAAAAGCCAAACAAAAATGTGGGTGGCTCAGCTCTGCAGCCAGTCTTTGGCACATCACGAGGAAGCAGATGCCTAGAAGGGGGAGCCAGGCAGCTGTGGCAAGGCTGGGACACGGGGCCTCCGCGTGCAGCCCCAGAGTTTGCAGGTTCCGGTAGGAGGTTGGAAAGAAAACCCCTGAGTCCTGCTGCAATTTCTTGTTCCTGGGAAGGAGGCACTGGAGACTGAGGTCCTGCGATCACTCGGCAAGGGAAAGAGCCAAGGAACGGGGAGGGAGGCACGCGGCGCTCAGCAATCAGTCACCCATTCCTCATCCTTGCACAGGGAACACACCACGAACCCAAGAAACATCCGTTTGTCTGTTTGTTTTGGAGCCCAGCACCTCTGAGATGTCCTTGGTGGATGGTCCTCTGTGCCGGGAGGATGGGGTGCTCCCAGCAGAACCTCAGGGTGCCGAGCAGCTGGCCACCACTGCCAGCCCCCCTTCCCCGTCACGCTCGAAGCCTGGGTGAGCGAGGAAGGCATCCACATCCGTGCGGAGATGCCGGACCTGCCTCCACCGCGGCTGCTCCCACCAGCAGGACCGCAGGCAGGAAAGCAGGACACAGATGCCAGCGCTCTCCTGGCACAGGGAACTTCTCTTCTCCCAGCACCCCGAGGCATCTCACAACTCCGCTGCTGGCCTAAGGCACTGCTTCACCCACCCCGGACCCGGCAGGGCTGGAAGAGAGGGGACAGGCTGCCTGTCCAGTCACACCACCCCAACCGCCCCGCCGATCTTAAAATCCACACAAACCAGCCCCCTGCCCCAGTATCCAGCTCCCTGATGCCCAGGGGCTCTCTTCACCCCCAGGGAGCCACAGGGCTCTGCCCGCCTCCCCACGATGTGCCCCAGAGCAACAAGGCCTCCACACACGTGCGTGCAGCGTCATGCTCAAAAAAGCACCCCCCCTCCCCAAAAAACGCAGCAGAGACGGACGCCGTAGGCAGCGCTGGCCAAGCCGTGGGTGCGTGGACGGTCCACCTCTTGTGGAGAAAGCTGGCCCAGAGCAGAGATTTGATGGCTGTAGGCACACCACGACTCTGGAGGAGGGGGAGATGGAGAGGCATTAGTCAGGCTCAGAGGTCCTCGTGCTCCGCAGCAGCATGGTCAATGAGGAGGTACCACTTCAGCCTGTCTGGAAGAGGTAGAGCCTTGATTTTGACATCTACTGGCCACGGTTTAAGGCGCTGCCGGATAAACACCCTGCAGAGATGTTTCAGTGCCTGTGGGGAGTGCTCCAGCTGCTTCAGAGAGCAGAAGAGAGTCCTTATCTTCTCCCCGTGGTACCTACAGCTGCTGGTGTTGACCTCAAAGTTGCTGGGCAGCCGGATGGCCTGCGAACTGGCCATCATGAGCTCCAGCAGAGTCTGACCCTTCTGGATGAGGTCTGTAGAGAAGCTGTCATCTTCGGAGACACTGAGGTGCGAGCAGAGGCACTCAAAGATGATGTGGAAGCCCGACCAGCAGGAGGGACCGTGGAGGGAGCAGTTGTAGGCAGCACCCGACTCCAGCAAGAAACGCAGCAGTGGGAAGTGGCGTTTGAAGCTTTTGAAGCAGAGGTGGGTGAGGGACTCGGGGGCCGGGCACCCACTGGGGTTGGCACCGTGAGCCAGCAGCAGCTGTGTGACACGAAAGCAGAAGCGATTGATCACCTGTGCCTCCTCAGCGTTGCTGCACACCATCTCTCCCAGCAGGAAAATGATGTAGGTGAAGACAGTGTCACCGTCTTTGGTGGTGGCTCTGACGTCCGCACCTGGAGGAAGGGACAGAGAACGTAAGTGGCATTGCAGACAATGAGGCCAGGACAGCACTGACTCTGGCACTGCCAGGCTTTACTCTTGGCTCAAGTGGGAACATAAAAGAGTTGAGAGGACAGTGCCCGGTGCCGTACAAAGAATCAGCCAGTGCTAGGCCTGGAGGGATTGTGCCCGGAGAGCGGAGAAGGTTGCCCTCACCTCCTTCCAATAGGAGACGGATGCTCTCTGTGTTGTGGATCTGGACACCGTCACTGCTGGCCAGGGCGTGCAACAGCGCTGTCTTTCCTGTGATGGAGCAATCGGTCAGTCAGATGAAAATAGGGTGAGACCCCAAAAGGAGGAAGGAAAACAATCCACCCCACCAAACACAGGGAGAACCAGCCCTTCCCCTTCTGGCAGGCTCCCGCTGTCCCTGTGACGGTGCACAGCTGTGGGGACAGGGTCATAGGCCAGACATGCAGCATTGGTGGTGGCCCCAGAGGGCACGTGTGCCATGAGAGAGTGTGCGGGTACCACAGGGCTACGGAGGCACAGCCCCATCCCATCTCCCATGGACTGCGCAGAGCTGGTTTCAGCCCCCTTCAGCACCTGACACAGCCAACACGCAAGGACAAAGCACAGAGCACCAGGGAGGTTCTGCAGCCTGCAAACATCCAAACCAGTTAGTTTACAACCAGAGAGCGTTTACAGCAGCAAGACGGAAGGACCCGGACCCCATGCCCTGCTCTAGCCCACCCACGAGGGCTGGATGCTGGGAGCACGCGGGCTGGGGGAGCCGGATGAGGCGCACGGACCGTTTTTGTCAGCTGCGTTGACATCAGCCCCCAGCTGAAGCAGCCGCTGGAGGCACGGCAACCGCTCGGGCTCCTCGCTGGCCAGATCGAGGGGACTGCTTTCGTGGATCTGCACAGAGCAAGAGGGGAAAAAACACTAGTAAGGATTAAAGACTATTTGTGAGTGCCTCTGGAGAGTCGCTGCTGGGGCTTCATCACAGCCAACATAAGAATATATTTCAACCCATCCTGAAAAATCAAAGTGAACCTTCTCCGGTGCATCCGCAGGGAGAGGCGCGTCTACGCCAGCCTCCTCCCACCCATCGCTCCACGGCAGAGGCAGGTTTGCTCGGCCAAAGGCAACCTGAACTTCTGCCACAGCACTGGAGCACTACGGACAACAGGCACAGGAGGTCACCAAGGGGAAGCGGCACGGAGCGAAGTCCGGGAGGTGGGAAGCTGGGAGGGCTGTCCCCACACGCCAGTCCCTTGCAGCTAAGTCTCGAGGGGGCTCAGCTTGG